GCCACCCATGAAGTGCGATGCTCTGTCGCAGCTCCGCGCGGACGGGCCGACGGCGTGGGCTTCGGCGATGAGCTGCCGCCTCCGACTCGCTGCCCCCGCGCAAGCCGGACCCATGATGCTGAGCCCGTCGGAGGTCACGCCGAGCTCCTGGATGTGCGCGAGGCCCCCGTCCTCGCGCACCGACCGATGATCGCCATCTGGTACCTTGGCCTCGGCCATCCACTTCGCATGCTGGGCACGCAACCCCTCTGCGACCTTAATCGTCTCGCGGGTGAACGCCTCCAACGCCCTGGGCCCGCTGATCGGGAAATTGTCGAAAAGATCATCATCATCTCCTGCACCGACTTTCTGGAAATCCCGACGTCGCTGCCCGTCGGGTCCGTGCGACGCAGACAGGGCCCGATCATCATATCCGACGGCCTGGCCCCGCCCATGCGTGGCGGTAACGGCCCTGCAGGACTTGACCCGCTCCTCGCAGAACGCGCCGATCCCAGCCTGGAAGTTCCTCAGCTGCTGCACCCTGGACTCGCCACGCTAGGAAGGATCACCAGCGCGTACTCCAGATTTCATAATAAAGGGAGGGGGGTCTCATTTCGGGGGGGGTCTCTTCCAGGTTATCTTGGAGGGCCTGGGGGGTCCGGGCACGATGTTTTGGAGGGTGCTCCCACGGGGGAGGTCTGAAATGGCTTGTCTTGGAGGGTCCAGACCCCCTCCCTCTTATTACGAAATCTGGAGCACTCGCTCGTCACCACCGCTCCCGCCGGGGGCGCAACGACCTCGCCGACGCTGCGGCCGCCCACGTGCCCCGCGAGCACCCAGGACGGCGCTGCCGCCGCAGCCTCTGGCGCCGCGCCGCCGGCGCCTGCCCCGGCGCTGGCCACCCTGGCCGCGGCGCCGCCGCCTGGCGGGGGGGGGCCCTGATCGCCACCACGGCTTGCGCTTCGCTCAGCAACTGGTCTCCGCGCCCGACGGCGCGGCTCCAGAGCGATGCCTCTGGGCGGCCCCCAGACCGATCGGCAGCTCGCCGCTGCCCCCCAGGAGCCTCGCCCACTCAAAGGTTTGCCGACCACCCATGTCCGCATCATACGCGACGTAATCGGACGTCGCCATGGTGACGAGCCCGACCGCCATATCACTCAGAAGTAGTCGCTCGTGCAGCAACTCCTCGCCCACGCCCACGTACTCGATCAACACTCTCCGAAGGGTGGTCGCTCCCGGACCCCTCGGAAATGGCCAGCCGTCCTCCCCCTGGGCTGAAACTGCTGGCGCTGGCGCTTCTACGCTCACACGCGCTATGGGTGCAGGTTAACAGCAAATGGACACACGAGAACGGCTCAAACAAGAACGCACCGATGATGAGCTCGTACGGGTACTTGACCAAGACGCTGCAGTCTGTTGTACTGCCTCACACTTGCAATGACACTGGCACATAGGCTGCGGGAAAGTCGGGCACTCGACTTCCGAACTGACTTCGGCTCTGGCGGCCGCGACCGCGTCGGCGAGCACCCCTCGGAGCGCCCACGCCGAGAACGCGGTAGCTCCGCTATCCCCCCCGGCACGCCCAGGGCAGCCCATACCATGCAGTGGGTCGGTCGGAACATGCCCGTGCAATCCTGAGACGCAGCAAAAAGACCTCGAGGTCGGGAAAAGGCCGTGGGTCGGCAGATCAATGCTGCGCAATGCAATTCATCATCATCAGCATCATCAGCATCATCATCAGCATCATCATCAGCAGCAGCATCATCAGCATCAGCATCAGCATCAGCATCAGCAGCAGCATCAGCATCATCATCAGCATCATCATCGTCATCCTCATCCTCATCCTCATCCTCATCCTCATCCTCATCCTCATCATCATCATCATCATCATCATCATCATCATCACCATCATCGTCAGCATTATCATCATCAGCATTGTCCGCATCATCATCGTCAACATCATCATTAGCATCATCATCAGCATCATCAGCATCATCGTCATCATTATCGCCATCATCATCATCATCATCATCATCATCATCATCATCATCATCATCATCATCATTACGTCATCATCATTATCCGCATTATCACTACCATTATCATTATCATGTTCATTGTCATCGTCATCGTCGCCATCACCATAATCATCATTAGCATCATCGTCACCATCATGAACAGCTTTAGTATCAGCATCAGCACCAGCATCAGCATCAGCGTCAGCATTAGCATCAGCATCATCGTCAGCACCACCATCATCGTCACCGTCATCATCGTTTCCCTCATCCTCGTCAGCCCCAATTCTCTTCAACGCCCTCCTCCTCCTCCTCCTCCTCCTCCTCCTCCTCTTCCTCCTCCGCTTCAGCATCATTAGCAGCAGCATCAGCAGCAGCATCAGCATCAGCATCAGCCTCATCAGCATCATAATCGTCATCCTCATCCTCATCTTCATCCTCATCATCATCACCATCATCATCATCAGCATCATCATCATCAGCATTGTCCGCATCATCATCGTCAACATCCTCATTAGCATCATCATCAGCATCATCAGCATCATCATCGTCATCATCATCGCCATCATCATCATCACCATCATCATCACATCATCATCATTATCTGCATTATCATTACCAGTATCATTATCATGTTGGTTGTCATCATCATCATCATCGTCGTCATCACCATAAGCATTATTAGCATCATCGCCACCATCATGAACAGCTTTAGTATCAGCATCAGCACCAGCATCAGCATCAGCGTCAGCATTAGCATCAGTATCATCGTCAGCACCACCATCATCGTCACCATCATCATCGTTTCCCTCATCCTCGTCAGCCCCAATTCTCTTCAACGCCCTCCTCCTCCTCCTCCTCCTCCTCCTCTTCCTCCTCCGCGTCAGCATCATCAGCAGCAGCATCAGCAGCAGCATCAGCATCAGCATCATCATCTGCGTCATCATCATCATCATCATCGTCATCATCATCATCACCATCATCATCATCGTCATCGTCATCCTCATCATCAGCATCATCATCATTATCATCATCATCATCATCAACATCAGCATCATCATTATCATCAGACTCATCATCATCATCATCATCATCAGCAGCAGCATCGTTCGCATCATCCTCATCATCAGCAGAATCATCATCATCATCATCATCATCATCATCATCATCATCATCATCATCATCATCATCAACATCAGTATCACTACCATTATCATGTTCATCATCATCGTCGTCATCATCATTATCATCATCCTCATCAGCAGCATCGTCACCATCATCAGTATATTTAGAATCAGCACCAGCACCAGCATCAGCATCAGCATCAGCATCAGCATTAGCATCAGCATCATCGTCAGCACCACCATCATCATTACCATCATCATCGTTTCCCTCGTCCTCGTCCGCCCCAATCCTCTTCAACGCCATCCTCCTCCTCCTCCGTCTCTTCCTCCTCTTCTTCAGCATCATTAGCATCATTAAGACGACCCCGATCACCAGAGACTCCACAGATGGCCACGAGGGGCCTAAGACGACCCGAGAGGGCCCCAAGACGGCCCAAGAGAGTCCAATGAAGCCCCCGAGACGGCCCCGAACGGGCCAGAGAAAGCCCCAAGAAGGCCCCAGTAGGCCCCATGAGAGCTTCCCAAGACGAGGAGACAAGAGGTGTCACATGTAACGGCCTTATGGATGCTGCTCGCAGCGTCACCACCACATTATCATCACAATCATCAACATCATCATCATCATCATCATCATCATCATCATCATCATCATCATCATCATCATCATCATCATCACCATCACCACCATTATCATCATCAGCATCATCACCACCACCATGATCATCATCACATAATCATAAGCCTCCTCCTCCTCCCCCTCCTCCGCCTCATCATCATCATCATCATCATCATCATCATCAGCAGCAGCAGCAGCAGCATCAGCATCATCATCGTCAGTATCATCATCGTCAGCAGCACCACCATCATCACCATCATCATCATGATAAGCATCATCATTATCACCACCACCACGACTACCACCACCACCGCCGCCACCGCGACCACACCACCATCATCATCATCATCATCATCAGCAGCAGCAGCATCATCATCACCACCACCACCATCATCATCACCACCACCACCATCATCAGCATCATCATCATCGTTCATCGGTGGCGGCAGCGTCCGCGTCGGCGTCGGCGTCGGCGTCGGCGAAAACGTCGGTTCTGGCGTCGTCGTCGTCATCGTCGTCGTCATCATCATCATCACCATCACCACCACCACCACCATCATCATCAACATCATCACCACCATCATCATCAGCATCGTCATCATTGGCATCACCGTCATCATCATCATGAGCATCATCACCATTACCATCAGTGTCATGTTGTCTTCGTGTCCCGAATGCAACCAACATATCTCAAGACGGCCTCGTACCGACCCAAGACAGCTAGCATCAAGACTGCCGATATGTCGCATGCGACGCATTGAGGTAACACGTGTTACGTCTTTCCTCTGACTCCTTCTCCACGCCCTCCCACTACGCTCCCGAGCGGCCTCGCAGTAACCCGAGGCAGCCTGAAAACGACTGACGTGTCACATGTGACGGCCTTGTGGGCGTTGCTCCAACCATCGCAACACAGGGGATGGAGCAGGAGAAGGGAAGAGAAACGGGGAGGCGGTGGGGCAGGAGGAACGCGGAGAGAAGGGAACGTTGGGAATGGACGAGGCCGACGCCAAAGACGAGGAGAGAAACCCCGACGCGGCGCGGAAGACCGCGTCACGTGTTGCAGCTCCCCCACACCGCCGACCACGCGGTGGCACGCGCGACGGCTCCTCCTCCTCCTCCTCCTCCTCCTCCTCCTCCTCCTCCTCCTCCTCCTCCTCCTCCTCCTCCTCCTCCTCCTCCTCCTCCTCCTGCACTCCTCGAACCGGTCGCCACCCCGATTGCCGCGCTGGCGCGGCGGCGGGGACTGCCACAGGCGGCGGGATACGCCCGGACGTCGCCCTGCGACGGCGGGCGCACGGCGTAGCAGACCTCGTTGAAGAAGTGCGGCTCGATCCAGGGGGCCACAGGCGAGCCCTACCCCCACCCCCCACGATTTCTGAGGAGGAGGAGGAGGAGGAGGAGGAGGAGGAGGAGGAGGAGAGAGAGGAGGAGGAGGAGAGGAGGAGGAGGAGGAGGAGGAGGAGGAGAGAGGAGGAGGAGGATGGGTTCACTTCGCTCGGGGGAGCTCCCGAGCCAATTGAAAACCCCTACCCCCCACGATTTCTGATCCGGGGGGCGCAAGACCCGGGTACAGGGGACTCGGAAATCCCCGACGAGGTCGTCAAACAAATGACGAGGCCGAGCCTGCATTTTGACGAGGCCTCCCGCTGCAGACATCCCACGAAACTCCTACTCGTCAAAATCCGAGTCGCGGTCGTCAAAAAACGATGGCGAACCCGAGTCCTGGCAAACCCGGGTCTTACGCTCCCCCGATCTGAGGGGGAGGACGGGGTTCACTTCGCTCGGGAGCTCCCGAGCCAAGTGAAAACCCCGCCCGCCCCCCAGAAACCGCGGGGGGCGGGGGTAGGGTATTCGCATGTGGCCCCCTGCGACCGTCTTGCTCGTGCAGAACACGTCCCTCAGCCTGGGCTGCGTGCCCAAGAGCTGGCCCAGAAACGTGGTCCCGCCCTTCTGCACGCCGATGATCGTCAGATTCGGCGCCCCGGCCGGGCGGCGCGCAGCGGCGCCGCAGCCCCGGTAGAGCACGTCCCCCGCGGCAGGGCCGGCCACCGAGAAGGGCTGAGGGGGCGGGCCAGGAGGAGCGGGAGGAGGAGGGGGGGGGAGGGGGGAGGAGGAGGAGGAGGAGGAGGAGGAGGAGGAGGAGGAGGAGGAGGAGGAGGAGGAGGAGGAGGAGGAAGGAGGATGAGGAGGAGGAGGAATCAAACAGGAGAACACCAACAGGAGGAGGATGAGGTAGGAGGTATCAAGGTAACACCAGGCGTTGCAGCAGTCTTCTTGCCGCCTGGCGGGCGCACACTCTCACGCCCGACACTTTTCTGTCCACTTTGCACTGCCAGATCCACTGAGCCCGCCAAGTAAAATTAGCAATCTCTCTGCTACCTGACGCGCTCCTGTTTTGCAACTGGCGCGTCGCGCCGCGTGTGATCGAGCGTTCGGGACGGCACCGCGCGCTCCACTAGCAGGGCGGTGAGGTAGAAGTAGGGCCTCTCAAGCACCAGCAGGGCGATGCAGTAGAAGGAAGCGCGCATGTACACGAACAGTCCGCACTCTTCGGTACGAAATTGAGGATCATCGTCTTGCACTGGGCGGGAAGGTTGGGCACAAGATGGCTATGGACCACTCCATGTAGCTGCTCATCGTGCTAAACTTGGAGGGCGATGAAACAGCACTTTCTCTGCTAGCTGACGCGCTTATGCTTTGGCAGCTGGCGCGTCGCACGGCGTGGTCGAGCGCTCGGGACTGCACTGCGTGTTCCAATCTACTCTGCTTCGGTCTCTCTGCTTCGCAGAGGGTGGCCTCGCCGTCTGCGGCAACGCTTAGCCGCCTGCGTAGGGCCTCGGCCGTGGCTTAAAGCCACATGCTGGCGCACTCTTCCCTCGATTATACGGGAGTGACTGCACAGATACAGAGAAGCACGAAAACGGTTAGAGGGACCCGTGCTGGAAGAGAGCACGAGTGTGGATCCAGAGCGCCTCGACGTGCCTCCGGCCGGGCACCACTGCCTGTGGACGCGCATCTCAGGATAGCCTGCACGCCCGGTCGACCCCGAACCTACAGGAGCTCTTGAACTTGAGCTCGGTGAGGTCACCCACCCGGCTCAGGAAGGGACCGACTCGCACCCCCAGTCTTAAGTCGGGCCTGTCCCCCTACAGGGGTATTTTCGACGCAAAACAAAACATACCCCCAAAAATGAACAAAACAAATCCAAGAATGGTCTGGGGACTATTGTTTGAGTATTTTTTCCCAACCATCCTGTGGTGTTGGGTCCTCGTTTTGAAGAGACAGCGCCACGCGCCCCTCCTCTCCTCTCCTCTCCTCCTCCCCTCCTCCCTCCTCCTCATCATCGTCACGCAACCATCCTGTGGTGTTGGGTCCTCGTTTTGAAGAGACGGTGCCCGGCGTTCCTCCTTCCTCCTCCTCCCCCTCCTCCTTCCGCTATCATCGGCATCATCATCATCATCATCATCATCATCATCATCATCATCATCATCATCATCATCATCATCATCATCATCATAATCATCATCATCATCTTCTTCTTCTTCCAAACCATCCTGTGGTGTTGGGTCCTCGTTTTGAAGAGACGGTGCCCCGCGTCACACCCAGTACAGCGTTTCGTAGCCCCACAGGGAGCTCCACCGAAGGGCCCAGTGAGGATGCCCGCATGCGTCCCGCACACCCAGCACAGCGTTTCGTGGACTCACAGGGAGCTCCACCGAAGACCCCAGTGAGTGTGCCCGCATGCGTCCCGCACACCCAGTACAGCGTTTCGTGGCCCCACAGGGAGCTCCACCGAAAGGCCCAGTGAGGGTGCCCGCATGCGTCCCGCACACCCAGTACAGCGTTTCGTGGCCCCACAGGGAGCTCCACCGAAGGCCCCAGTGAGGGTGCCCGCATGCGTCCCGCACACCCAGTACAGCGTTTCGTGGCCCCACAGGGAGCTCCACCGAAAGGCCCCAGTGAGGGTGCCCGCATGCGTCCCGCACCCCCAGTACAGCGTTTCGTGGCCCCACAGGGAGCTCCACCGAAGGCCCCAGTGAGGTGCCCGCATGCGTCCCGCACACCCAATACAGCGTTTCGTGGCCCCACAGGGAGCTCCACCGAAAGGCCCCAGTGAGGGTGCCCGCATGCGTCCCGCACACCCAGTACAGCGTTTCGTGGCCCCACAGGAGCTCCACCGAAGGCCCAGTGAGGGTGCCCGCATGCGTCCCGCACACCCAGTACAGCGTTTCGTGGCCCCACAGGGAGCTCCACCGAAAGGCCCAGTGAGGGTGCCCGCATGCGTCCCGCACACCCAGTACAGCGTTTCGTGGCCCCACAGGGAGCTCCACCGAAGGCCCCAGTGAGTGTGCCCGCATGCGTCCCGCACACCCAGTACAGCGTTTCGTGGCCCCACAGGGAGCTCCACCGAAAGGCCCCAGTGAGGATGCCCGCATGCGTCCCGCACACCCAGTACAGCGTTTCTTGGCCCCACAGTGAGGGCCGCACAGTGCGACGGCCGCCGACCCTGACGCTCCTGACGACGACGATACCCAGGAGGAGGAGGAGGAGGATGAGGAGGACAGGAAGGTGGAGGATGACGGGTAGGGGAGGACGGATATCAGAGTGGAGCAGAAGAGCACGGGGAGACATATTGGCCAGGAGGGTGCGACCTCAGACTTCCGAGTTGTTTCGCGTCGCGAAGCCCCCGGACCTCTCGACTCCATCCTGGTGGCCAGTCCCGGGTAGTATTGTCTAGGGCCCCAGCTTCCGATTTTTGGTCGCGTCGCGAAGCCCCCAGACCTCTCGACCCCATCCTGGTGGTCAGTCCCGAGTAGTTTTGTTTAGGGCCCCAGCGCCCAGAAGCGGCCTCCAGAGGCCGCGTCGTGTTCATGGCATCATCGGGGCTCAAACATCGAGGCCTCGATCGAGAAGAGGGCGAATTGCAGACCGCCGAGCAGGCGAGACAGCATGGCGAGGATACGGGGGGAAGGGGAGAGGAGGGGGGAACGGAGGAGCCAGCAGCGGAGGGAGACGAGGGGTTGAAAGGGAGGAACATGCAGAGGGTGAGGAGGGAGGGAAAGGGAGGGAAAGGGAGGGAGGGGGTTGAGGGAGGGGAAGGAAGAGGTCGGAAGAAGAGGGAAGAGGAGGAGAAGGAGGAGGGGAAGGAGGAGGCTGAGAAGAGAGGGGGAGGAGAGGAGGAGGAGGAAACGGAGGAGGAAGAGGAGGAGGAGGATGAGGGAGAGGGGAGAGGAGGGAGGAAAGAGCAGGGAGGAGGAGGCAGGAGGAGGAGGCTCGCGAGCTGCCAGCTCGGCTGGAGTCGTGCGGCAGCGACCGCCTCTCGCTCCGGGCTGGAGTCCTCTTGTGCGAGCTTGGGGCCCGCCTCTCGCTCCGGGCCGGAGTCCTCTTGTGCGAGCTTGGGGCCGTCTTGGGGCCTCGAGGATCGAGGTTCGAGGCTTTTTGCCATTCGGGGGGCCCCTTCGCCACCACGGCTGGACGCGGTCCGGAAAACTGGCCAGCTTGGACCCGGGATGGGTCCGAGGATCGATTTCGAGCGGGTGCTGGCCCAGGGTGGCGCGAAGGGGGTGGCCTTTGAAGAAGCCAGGGGGGGGTTATTGGAGGGGCGAGCAATGCAGCTGGCAAGGCTTTCCGTAATTAGCCACTTGTGCGCAAGACGGTTTCACCATCAACTGGCGTTGTTAGTGTTTCTCTGCCAGACGACCGCGCTTCGGGATGAAACGGAGCTTATGGGAACAATCCACTGGTTTGATGAAGAGGCACCACCTGATCGTGACCTAACAAACATTCATAAGGTGAAAACTTGCCAAGGTTGTGGAGATATTGTGCGCGTTGGTAAGATTGCAACGCATGGCATTCCACGTAGCGACAAGAAGCTAAAGGTTCCCGACGAAGAATTACAGCACTTGCTAACCAAGTGTGTTCGAGCGCCGACATATCTTTATGCGACGCCGTTCTTCTCATCAAGTCGTGTTTGTGCGGATTGGACCAAATATTATGGCAGTGTAGACAAGCTACGTGCCATGACGTTCACCGACGCCGGTGTGCTCAAGTTGTGTTCACATATCATTAATGTACGTAGAACCCTTGGCTTGTCGATTCGCATGTCAAACACCCGCGACACCGACAGATTCACAATGGTACAGCGCAGTGCTTTGGAGGCTCGCGACGCCGTCACAACAAAAGCATCATTTCTGGAATATATACGCGTTCTTTATCTGAACGTGCATTTGTCGAGGACTGCCATTTCTGAGCAATCAAGAAACGCCCTGGCCTCGAATGCCTTCCCATTCTTCCAGAACGACGTCTTCTCTTTAGGCATGGATGCTTCCTGGACAAGATTACTGACGTTTTACTGGATCTCCTCAAAGCCACGTATTTTGCCCCGTATGGGCGAACCACGCTCTGTATCTCAAGGTTGGCCATAACCTGTGCGCACTAGAGGATGCATTGGTGTTTGCAGCTACTCTTGCCGATTGTTCATGGTACGATCTGACGTCGCCAGCGAAAATGGAAGCCATCATTGCTGGGGCGCCACACTTTGGTACTTTCAGATCGAAAGAAATTTGGGTTGATGCTGTTCAAATCATGCTGAAGAACCCGGACCGGTATCGTCTTTCACCGGCTGACACTTCGAGGGCCTCGGAGGAGCTGCTAGCGGTGGGCGAACCTGGACCTGGCCCCCGCCGCGTCATCCGATTCGTCGCTGGCGATCCCGTATCCAAAGAGCCCTGTAGCATCGCTGAAATTCAGAAGTACAAGGACGTCGCTGAGAGCATTCTGAAACACTTCCAGATGCGTTTCAAGATCGATGGGGCCATCCAGGCTTGGTTTCAAGTTTGCGAGGCATCCAAAGGAGTGGCCGATTTATTCTGCGGAACAGGCGTGCCCTACGAGCCGTTCAAGGACTACGCGCCCCCTTCGCAGAAAGATGTAATGGACGCAGAACTCCACGATCCGGCCACTGTCCGCAAGAAGATGACTATGCTGGCCAATCGTATCTTTAGTAAATACCCGACACTGGAGAGCAAGCTCCAGGGCAAATTGCCGCGGTAGCGTTTGGCCTCGGACTCCGCGCTGCGCTGCGCCCGCAGCCTTGGACTTAGAAGTGCGCGGGCACGATCCGCCCCAGAACGCTCCTCGTTTGGGATGGGCCGTCGTCGTCGTCGTCGCCACCGTCGCAGGAGAGGCCACGACCCTCGCCAGGGAGCTGGGCCTCACCGAATTTATCCGCGAGGCATGACCTGGGGAGCGGCCCGCCCGAGCCGCGCCATATCCAGGCTGTCCAACAGTTCGGCCGGGCGCCGCGGACGACCCGTGCGCGTCGCTGGGACCCTCTCGGGGCGACCAGCGTGCTTCGCGGGGACTCCGTGCTGCGCACTGCCCAGCGCCTCGTTCGCCCGTCGTCGCTCTGCCCGGCGGCCAGAGCCTTGCCCGCTCCCAGCCAGCCAGCTAGCTCGCTTTGCTCCGCGCAGCGGACGACCCGCGTGCGTTGCTGGGACCCCTTCGGGGCGACCAGCGCGCGTCGCGGGGACTCCGTGCTGCGCTGCGCCCGCAGCCTTGGGCAGTGGAGTGCGCGGGCAAAGAGGAAGAAAAAAAACGGGAGGAAGCGGGGGCGATCCACGCGAGGGGGGTGCCGATATGGGCGTCGACATTCATACACGTAGATTCCCCCGCACGCAGATTCATACACAATCGGACCCACTCGTGCTCGGACTCACCCGCTCTCAAGCTCTCGCTATCAGATTTATCGTCTTCTTCCGCGTTGCGTTCCCCGCCATACATCGGCACGCCCCTCACGCGGTTCTTGGCCTCGTAGGGAGCTCCACCGAAGACGAGAGTCACAATTGCGGCGCTCTCGACTGCGTATGGCTGGGTCCTTCGCCAGGCGAATTCATCTTTGGGGGGCACTCTTGGACTATGTTTGATTTTCCGTCGACCATCCCCCTGCAGGGGGACACGCCCGACGCGCACCCCCAGTCCTCCAGGGGCCCTCCTCTGCCCCGCGGGGCGGCTCTGGGCCTCGCCCCCGGGGGGCGGCGCCCCGGAGAAGGCCTCCGACCTCTCCCAAACCCGCCACCTCCCCTGCCACAAGGCGCCCACCGCCGCAGCTGGGCGCCGCCTCGGAGGCATGCGACGAAGGGCGGCGCAGGGCAAGAGACGGCACGCGCGGCACGCCGCACGGGCGCGCGGCGCGAGGGGGGAGGGCCCGCGCGCAAGCGGCGGGCCTCGCGGCCGCACCGCACTCCAAGACAAGACGGCTAGGGATCGCTCCGTGTGGCAGCTCGTCGTGCTCAACTTCGAGGGCGATGAAAGGCTCTTCGCTCCGCTAGCTCGGCGATTTGTTCCATCACCCAGTGACGCAACAGGCTCGTTCTTCATGTCTGGCCAACGTCAAAACAAGAGGAGGATAAGGAAGAGAAGGGGGAGGGTGAGGAGGAGGAGGAGAAACGAGCAAGGAGGAGGAGGATGTCTGGTCCTGGCCGTCTCTGGGCGACTTCGGACTCGGAGCGGGGGGGGAGGAGGAGAAGGAGGAGGAGGAGGAGAAACGAGGAAGGAGGAGGACCGCATCCGAAGAGGTGCCGCTGTCCGCCGCAGGGACAGGCGGCGCCGACGCGCCGAGGGAGACCAGCGCATTGAGGATGCAGGCCACGGCCACGAGTATCAGCAGGAACAGCTGGCACGCCGAGCGGAGGCTGACCATGGCGGCATCATGCCTGCACAGCAGGAAGGCGGGGGCCAGGACCTCGAGCCGAGGAAACACGGCTACGCACAACATGTTCCTGGATTGTGGATGATGGACTTTCTGTGCTAGTATCACCACTACTACCACGACTACTACTACTACTACTACTACTACTACTACTACTACTACTACTATTACTACTACTACTACTACTACTACTACTACTATTACTCTACTACTACTAACTACTAACTACCACTACTACTACTACTACTACTACTACTGAGCTACTGTTACTACACTACTAGTACTACTAACTAAACTACTACTACTACTACTACTACTAACTACACTACTCCTACTCCTACCACTACTACTACTTCTACTACTACTACTACTACTACTACTACTACTACTACTCGTACTACTACTACTACTACTACTACTACTACTACTACTACTACTACTACTACTACTACTACTACTACTACTACTACTACTACTACTACTACTACTACTACTACTACTACTACTACTACTACTACTACTACTACTACTACTACTAATACTTCTACTACTACGACTACTACTACTACTACTACTACTACTACTACTACTACTACTACTACTACTACTACTACTACTACTACTACTACTTCTACTACTACTACTACTACTACTACTGCTGCTGCTACTACTACTACTGCTCCTACTATTACTACTTCTACTACTCCTACTACTACTACTACTACTACTACTACTACTACTACC